GGGGGGGGGGGGCGGGACGGACCTGGAATTTTTGATCGGTGAACTTGCTTTTGTGCCCGAGCTGGCAGAGGAGAGCTCAGGGTCCCGAATCCAATCTCTTGCAATCATTGCTTTGGCATGCATCATCACATATCATCACTGCTGCTCTAGATGCTATCCTTGCCTTGCACAACCAAGATAACCTGTGTGCCCCTTTCTCTTTTTTTCTCTCTCTCTCTCTCTCTCTCTCTCTCTCCCCCTCCCTCCCTCGCTCTCTTCCTCCTGCGGGCGCGAGCGCACGCTCGCACATCCATGCGGTGCATCGCTTGCTGCAGGTGTCGGCGATATATTCACTTATTGCATTTCTGGTGCTTTTTCTTCCCGCGTGTCGTGTGCGGGCTTGTGAGTCGCGGCCTCAGCGAAGTCCCTTGAACCAGAGGGTGCGTGCGGGAAGACAGACTCGGCAGGGCTTCAAGCTGGCGGCGACTTCATTTGGTTTTGGGAATCCTCACGCTTAGCCTGTTGATCGTGGCCGGTGTCATGCTCGCCCTTTGTAGGCTTGGACACATGTCTACCTAGGCTCCAAGATTCAGGATGTCTGCAGAGCAAGGGGACTGCTTTGGCCAACTGATGTTGCCAGGCATAGCAGCCTTGAAGAAGAGGCGCTTGTCGCAGGGAAGCTGATGTTCTTCGGCATCGCCTGGGATCTTATTAAGGGCATGTGCTCTATCAACTCTCTATGCACTCTTCCGATTTGACCGCCCAGGAAGGTTGCATGGAGAGCCGGTGGATAATGCTCCCAGAGGCATTATGCATCAGTCGCGGGGTCACGTGCCATGGGATGGTGTGAGAGCATGGTGACTGTGAAGGTCATGGCAACAGTCACTGCTGGCCTGGGCTGTTTACTGGGTCGATGTGCTCGCAGGATGCAGGCTGGACGGGCTTTTCGCAGGTGAGCTTGACAGTTCGCCCCTACCAGAATGCAAGACTTTGCTGCAGGTTACCCAATGCCGCCTTTCAGCATGGTCAAACCCCCTGAAATCGCCATCGAGGCTCGCATGTGCTCCTGCCTAAGCCCTCAAAAGGACATAAGAGCATTGCAGTGGATGTTCCAGACTGAGTTTTAAGCTGCGTCTAACAATCCGGCTCTGGCAGTCTTAAGGTGACAGTGTGCACATCTCAGCTGCATTGCGCTTGGAAAGCTTCTGAAGATGAATGCAGCCATCGTTGGCCGAGGATTCTCTTTTGCTCTGCCAGCCTTCACTTCAATATGTTCGCTGTCGTTTCTGCCCGAGATAAGTGGCTGGAGCACTTGTGCAGCAGCCGATGACGATCAACTGCTGCTGCTAAGGCATACCACTTTGCGACTGTTTGTATACTGATATTGTGGGCTGTCGTGAACCCGTGCGCAGCGCACGGCGGGCAGCGGCAGGACCGATGAATTCATCTTCTCTTGCTCTTCTTATAACAAGCAGCAGCTTGCTGGAGCATATCATTGACATTATGACATGGAAGGACAGTTTTCCTTGCGCTTCCGGGTTGCTGAGAATGATCCTTTTAGTTGCGAGCGCCGCGCACGTCATTGTGGCCGTTGCCTCGGCCGGGAAACCCGTTTTGCAACGCTGCATGGCGGAAGACCAGGCAGCCCTACTGACCGTCAGCGTGCCGGTACTGCCATTTGAACTCCCGGAGCGGGTGTCAAGACTTCTTGGCCTGGAGGCGGCCGTGAAAGCACTCTCGCATCTTGCCATCCTGGTGCTGTTTCGCCCTGAGTAGGTGACACCATTGATGGCACTACAGCAGATGGCGAGCTTCCTCCTTCTGGAATTGAGCCTTAGATGCATCAGCTGAAGTAGACCTTCGACGCAAGTGCGCGGAGACGTATAAGTGAAGAAACTGAGGATTCTGTGGCCTGCCTTTCCGGCTCATGAGGCCGCTGCAGCACGCTTCGTTGGCACAAAGGCTTTTGCGAGCCCCCTCTCTCCCTCTCTGTCCCTTCTGCAAGCCTCTGGCGGAAAACCTTGACTTTCTTTCTCTCGCCCCCCGTCTCTCTCTTTCTGTCTCTCTCTCTCTCTCTCCCTGTCTCTCGCTCGCTCTTTTGCGCACCCAGTGTACCCAGTACACTTCAGAGAAAGACATCATCTCAGGGGACCGGGGCACCGGCAGCTCGTATCCAGGCCACAAAGAAATCGCTCCAGGTTCCTCGCGGAGTTTCCGAGGACCCTTTCGGATCCTGTCTGTGTAGATTTGCGTTTCTGTGCAGGTGTTGGTTTCCCGCGAGTCCAAAGCCCTTGACAGACAAAGCCACGCGAACCCAAATTGAAGGAGCTGCGGCGAATGGAGGCCAACGAGATGCAGTCTTGAGCCTGCGCCTCTACAGTCACGATCTGTAGGCGCCATCACCATCAGCCAATGGTAAAGAGGCAGGAGTTTAATTGCACACGAGTTTCACCCATTGAAATCGCACTGAATCTCAGACCTCCCCATCCTGCGATGACCGGACGCCGACAGCGGAAGGCACACCCGCCTGGGACCTAGTCGACGGCAGCCCCATCAGCTTCGCAGATCAAAGCCTTCAATCTTGGCAACTTGTTTCTTTTCCATATCCTTCCAGAGATCATCTTGATGCAAACACTGCTGTAATCCCTCGATCAATGTGGGTCCTGAGGCCGTGTCCACAAGCAGCTGCCAGGTCTCAATGCAGGATGGGTTGTGAAACCAGTGTCGCCGCCCTGTAGATTGACCTTGTAGCGGTAGTGGTACAGCAGCAGTAGTCGTAGTAGTACTAGTAGTACTAGTAGTACTAGTAGTACTAGTAGTAGTAGTAGTAGTAGTAGTAGTAGTAGTAACCTACACGCCTTTATTTGATCGTGGGTCCGACTGCTTCAGGAGCTTTGCTGGAGGG